AGAAAACTAAGTAACCTCTCCAAGGTCACACTGCTAATAAGTGATAGAACCTCAAATTTATGCCAAGGATTTTAGCCACTGCACTATTTCAAAATAAATGCAAATTTTATATTTTGCTCATGTAATACCAATCTGCAGAAAGTTTTTAATTCCTACAAAAATTAAAATTTATACAACTAATTACAAAAGGACATTTGAGTTAATAAATATTGTTCTTAGGTGCTATTGAGTTAATTCTGAGTCCCAAGGTTCCCCTAGAACTGCCTCATTGGGTTTTTAAGCTGATCTTTAGGGGAAACATCACCATATCATTTTTCTACAAAGCTTCTCGGTGGGTTCCAACTATCAACTTTTCAGTTAGCAGCCAAGGACTTAACTATTATGCCACCAGGGCTCCTGTCACTAGTTGTTGCTGTTGTTAGGTGCTGTCAAGTTGGATATGATTCATAGCAATCTTATGAGCAAAAGATCTGAACCCTGTTCTATCCTGCGCCATCCTCATACTTCATAATACACAAGAGCCCCTTGCAGAAGTCACCCTGTCAATCCACCTGGTTGAAGGTCTTACCTCCTTCTTTGACCCTCCACTCTTCCCAACATCTTGTCCTTCTCCAAGGAATAGCCCTTCCTAGCAACATGCCCAAAAGAATGTGAGATGAAGCCTCATCATTCTTGCCTCCAAAGAGCATTCCAGCTGCACTTTCTCAAAGACATATCTGTTCATTCTCTTGGCTGTCCATGGATGTTCAGTGCTCTTCTCCAATATCACAGGTCAAAGGTGTCAATTCTTTTTCTGTCATCCTTATTCATTGTCCAGTTCTCAGATGCACAGTAAGTAATTGGAAAGATCATGGCGTGAATCAGATGCATCACAGACCTCAAACTGACATCATTACTCCTCAATATTTTGGAGAGGTACCCAGATTTTCCCAGTGCAATGCATCTTCTTATTTCGTGACTGCTGGTACCAAGGGTGTTAATTGTGGATCCAAGCAAGATGAGGCTGTTGACAGTTTCAATCTCTCTATCCATCACGATGCTACCTATCAATCCAGTGATAAGAATTTTTGTTTTATTTTTACATTCTCATGCAACACATACCGAAGGTTGCATTCTTTGATCTTCTGCAACAAGTGCATCAAGTTCTCTTAACTTTCAGCAAGGAAGATTGTGTCATCTGTATAACACAGGTTATCGATGAATCTTCCTCCAATCCTATTGCCACATACCTCTATATAGAGTCCAATTTGTTCAGCATGCAGATTAAATATTATGAATATTTATATATTGACTAGGTCATTAATTATATCCCTAAAACATAAGCCATGGTTAATCTATTCTGCTTCTAATGGGTGAGCAGGAGTGGAGGGGATTAATGAGATGGCAGGGGTGCACTAGGAAGAAGCTGGTACTGTAAGAAAGACCAATGAAGATGAAAAATCATATCTTACCATTTAGGAAGAGATGTTAGACTTTAACCTTTCTCTTTTGACTTCGTTATAGTAAGAGCCTTAAAGACATTGCCACTACTACAACCCACTAGGCTACTGATTGCAACACCTTGGATAATGACAATGAATTCCTAACAGTTATTGGTTTATACAGTGGAGAATATTGACATAAAGTGGGAGAGCAGCAGGACAAATCATCATCACTGTCTCAACCTAATCAGTCCAAGTAGATGGATTGTTGATGATGATTGCTGTTAAGTTAGTCCTCAATTCTTGGTGACTACCATACAAAATGGAATGAAATGCTGCCTTGTTCTGCACTGAACTCTCAGATCAGCTGTGGTTTGAACCAATGAGTAGATCTGTTGTTGTTTTTGGTGAGGTGTTGTTGAATGCAACTCACTGTTGACCCTAGGAACAAAATATCTGAACCCTGTCTTACCATATGGCAACCTCATCATCTCTGACATACTTGAGCTGTCCCCAAAACTTCCCTAGTTGGCTCAAAACCCATACAGGACAACTCTATCCAGCTACATCATCATCTGTTAAGCTCCTGATGCTTTTGAGTCCACCTGTGCCAAGTCTTTGTTCAACAGAATTCTATTTCTTGGCTTCTTATCTGGATCTTTCCATAGGGCAAACTGCACAAATCATTTGATATCCAAATAATCTATTCCAAGATATAAAAATAAACTCTAATTTTATATGTTAGCCTTTTGAGTCAAGTGATCCACCCATGAATCTGATGAATTTGTTTTTGGCAGTCGGTGGAGAGGTGGAGGGACTCAGCACCAGGTCAGACCTTGGTTCAAGGCGGCAAGAGCCACCCTGAAAATCTCCTTGCAAGCATTCCTAACTTACTCCTCATTTTCTATAGAGGTTTTTTCCCCCCTGTAAGAATAATCTTCCAGGGTAGTTGCAAAGATTAAACCAAAGAAAAGTAATTGTACTTCCCAAAGTTACTAGCAACAATTTGTAGTGAAAAATGTAATGTTCAAGTTGTTCTCAAAAATCTTAGCTCTAGACTTTATCACCCCAAATGGAAAGGTTGCTAAATATAAAACCTTATATCCACTCTAGATTAGCGTTTATTATATATGTGCGATTAGACTACAATAGTCCAAAGAATGTGAGGGAAACTATTTTTCTCCCACTTCTCAGATACTGAAAAATAGTCCATTCAGTTTCAAGAATATGTTACGGTGTGGCTTGAAGGAAATGGCTCCTAAAAAGAGCTATTAGGGGCCAAAAGGCATTAAAATCTAATTCCTACAGGGGAAAAAATGGAAATATTTAAATAGAAAAATTAGATAAAAAATCAGTCCAATAAAAGTAAATTCATAGCATTAGAACGACACAGAATCTAAACTCTTGGCATCACTAAACTATAATAGGAACCCTAGGTGTGCTGTAGTTAAACACTCAGGGGCAAACTGAAAGGTTAGTGGTTCAAATCCACCAGTAGTTTTATGGGAGACAAGACCTAGCAATTTACTCCCATAGAATTACAGCCTACTGCAGAAGAATTAAACAAGATCCCCACCTCACTCCATATACAAAAACCAACTCAAGGTGGATCATAGACCTAGGACTAAAACCGAGGCCTATAAACTTCATTCAAGAAAAGCTTGGAAGAACTTTAGTAGTCCTAATCCACAACATAAAGAGTCTTCCAAGTATTCTAAAAAATTTACAACCA